ACAGGGTGTGATCCTGGAAACCACCCTCGCAGTTTCCTAGCAGTGCAGAGCCGTGATAGAATTATATCCGTGAAGCCTGGCATTGAACTACTGGTTTGATTGGCCAAGAATTGCTGGTGTGACCTCCAGGCCTCCTAGCACTACTCAGGAGGTAAAATAAAATGAAACTAGCATGGTAGCATTGTCCTCCCATTGTTCATTGATTTGTTCGAGCGGGCACCAGTAACGTCTCCTTTGTGAGACTTGTTGTTACTGTTTTTGGCATACCAAGTATGCCATGGGGAACTTGCCAGGCTCTGCCATGCGGGCAGGATATTCTCGGTAGCTTGCCAGGCTCTCCGAGAGTGACAGAGGAATCGAACCCGGGTCAGCTGCATGCAAGGCAAACACCCTACTTGCTGTGCTATTGCTCCAGTCCAAGTGAAACTAAACTAAACTAAATTTAAAAAGCTTTGCTTAGCCTAATCCTTCCATCATGGTAGCTATGTTGATTAGTTGCTTTCTGTTCATGTCCCCATTGCCCACTGGATGGAGGAGGAAAGACTAGAGTAGCTTATTTCTTTCTTGAGCTTTCCTATCACTCTTTAGCCATCTTTCCCTTTGGAAAAAGAGCACAGGCTTTAGACCCAGAACTAGGACCACATCTATTCTATCATTCAGTGACTGGGGAAGTGACTATAAGCAAACCATTTCATTCTTGGGCATTTTGTCAATGAGACTACCTTATTTTAAATAGAACTCTCTTACCTACCTGCAGTTCTCCTGTTTCCCCAATCTTGTTCTGGTTTTGATATTTTCCAGGATGCATCATTTTACATATTATATAATATACTTTATTATATGAGATAATAGACCTTTGTTCCCTGACAGTCTCAAATCTAAGAGTAGTGTCTGACATTCAGGCACAAATACAAGTTATATGGGAATCACTCCAAATATAATCAAAATTACTTTTATATTCCTCTGGTCACCTTGTTGCAAGTCTGTCATAAGAGAAAGCTATCACACATATGTCTCTATACAACAATATAACTATGGCTATATTCCCTATATGTTAGTGAACAAAAGATAAGACTCGAAGTATAGCATAATAATTATGTACCTCTAGGAATTTTGTAAAAATAAAGGGACCATATTCTTTATTACAATGTATATGAGAGAAAGAAGTCAGATGGGAACAAGGTAGCTGTGGCAATTAATTCTTAAGAAGTAATAAAATCAAGATGTGATTCAAAAAAGTTAATTTCACTAGCCCTAAATTAACAAAAAAAAAATCACGAACACTGGACCAAATTTGTGGACATAGGAACTGAGGTTGGTAGATTATAACTGGCACCAGGGCTGGCACCACAGAAAACTGGACCTCTGCAGGAGTGAGAAACTTCAATAGAAACAAAAGGCTGTGATCAGGCATGAAAAAAAACCCACTCAGAATTCAAAGTTCTTTCTCTACGGCAATGTCCTGGTTAACATATATCTACAGAAAACTCCAGTCCAAGGCAATTTGAAGAAATCCATGTAAAGATCCCATCCCAAAAGTCATTCAGGGTTCTTCTCCTACTGGAGAATTCCTCATTCTCTCTTAAATACATTACTTCCTCTTTTCTCATAACTTCTAAATAAAATGATTTGTACTTCACTACCTGTGTCCTGAATTTTTTTTTCTGTAAGGGAAAACAACAGACTTACATAGAATCTGGGAAGAGATTAAAACTGATTTTCTTTTTCTTGTAAAGAGCTATTTCTTGCTCTAGCCTGAGATCCCCAAGAAATTAGGTGGCAGAGATTATTTTCCATGTCATGTCGATCAAGTGGGATTCAGGCACAATCTGCTGATTGCCAAGTGGAGCTAGAGGGGACAGCAGGGAAAGACAGTAAGAGTGCCTATTCCGGTCATGGAGAGGATCTTGCTAAGTGAAATGAGTCAGAAAGAGAGGGACAAACAGAATGATTGCACTCATTTGTGGAATACAAAATAACATAATACGAAACTGACACCCAAGCACAGGAGATACAAGGACCAAGAATATTGCTCCATAGTTGGAAGCCTATCTCATGAACTAAGGGAGAAGGCAGCTGGAATAAGAGAAGGGATCACTAAGTCAATGATGGTTGGAGGAATTGTTGGGGATGGGACATGTGTGCTGAAAGTAGATAAAAGACCAAACGTGATGACCTCTCAGTATCTATATTTCAAACCATAATGCCCCAAATTAGAGAGAGAGTATGGGGGAAATTGTCTGCCATAGAGGCAGGGCTGGAGCGATAGCACAGCGGGTAGGGCGTTCGCCTTACAAGCGGCCAACATGGTCGACCCGAGTTCGATTCCTCCGCCCCTCTCGGAGAGCCTGGCTAGCTTTAGGAACCCAGCGGCTTTAGGTAGAAATGCGTCCAATCCCTGCAGTAGGCTACTGGTGCTGGGCCAACCCAGGTGGGAATAGGTTTCATGCCTTGGCCTGTTCCCCCTGGCGGCCCAGTGGCTGCCATCCGTCTGAGGCCACTGGATAGTCACATTTGGGCCTGTCCTCCCCACCCCAACGAGACCCCAAGTCATCGCCCATGAATGGCCTCTCTGGCTCCTCATCAAGCTGCTCAACGGCCTTGATCCCAGAGACTCAGAAACAAATCTCGAAACCCAGCGGCTTTTGGCAGAAATGTGTCCAGACCCCGCAGTAGGTTACTGTCGCCAGGCCACCCCAGGGGGAATGGGTGCTGACCCTCCGCCTGCTCCCCCTTGGTGGCTCGGTGGCCGCCATCCTCCAGAGGCCATTGGACAGTCAGGCTTGGGTCCGCAGTGACAAAACTTGTTGGGCCTCACAGGATGGGCGGGGGGGGGGGAGCCGGGCCTGTCCTCCCCACCCCAACGAGACCCCAAGTCATCGCCCACAAACGGCCTCTCTGGCTCCTCATCAAGCTGCTCAACAGCCATGATCCCAGAGACTCAGGAGCAGATCTCGAAACCCAGTGGCTTTTGGCAGAAATCCCTCCAGATTTAAGTGTTAAAATTTCAGAATTTCAAAACCACATGGCCCTACTGCAGCCACACGACATCATATGTTATTCATAACCAGCAAGAGAACACAAATTGTCTATTGTTGCCTTTTCAGAAGATCTGAGTGTTGGGGTAAAATCTCAAATAATGGTGGGTCTGGTGTCGAAATATTGAATGTGATCAAAGTAGAGAGAGAGTAATGTGGAAATCATCTGCCCCACAGGCAGGGGGAGGGTGTGGGATGGGGGTATACTGGGATTTTTGGTGGTGGAGAATGGGCACTGGTGAAGGTACGGGTGTTTCATTGTATGACTGAGACTTAGACCCAAAAGCTCTGTAACTGCTCTCACGGTGATTCAATAAATAAAATTATAAAAAATGGGAAAAAAAGGAAGGTGGAGTCCATGCACAATTCAATCAGCTAATCAATGGCTGAATAAATAGCAGTACTCCTACAAAAAAAAAGATGCTCAACATGGGCTAAAGAGATAGTACAGGGGGGCTGGAGTGATATTACACTGGGTAGGGTTTTGCCTCACATGCCACCAATCCTGGTTTGATCTCTGGCATTCCATATGGTCCCCCAATCTCTCCAGGAGTGATCCCTAAGTGCAGAACCAGGAGTAAGCCCTGAGCACTGCCAGGTGTGGCCCAAAATGCAAGGGCGAGCGAGAGAGAGAAAGAGTACAGGGGTTAAATCATTTGCCTCACATGTGGCCCATCCTGGTTCAATCTCTTGCATTGCATATGGTTCTCCAAGTACTGGCAGGATTGAACCCTGAGCACAGATTCAGGAATTACTCCTGAGAACCACTAGGTGTTTTTCAATTCCACATCCCAACCCCACAAATAGGCCAACATCATTAATCATTAGAGAAATGCCAAAACCATTCAGAATCAAAAGAGATTGTTGTCTCTCACTCACCAGCATGCCTATAATAATAATAAAAAAAGATACAATAACAATTGTTAGTAAGGATGTGGAGAAAACAGAACCTTCATATACTGGTGGTTGAAATGTAAAATGGAATAATCATTTAGAAAAGAATTTGGAAGTTTCTCAAAATGTTAACTTAGAATGTTTTATGACCTAAAAATTCCACTTCTAGGTATTTCATGCAAATAAATAAACAAAACCTTGGGGTGAATGTTCATAGCAACACTAATCATAATAGTTTGCCCCAAAGTGGAGATAACCCAAATGTCCACCCACTGATGATGATGATGGTATATCCATTACATTGGATATACCATACAATGTAATGTCACTCAGCAATAAAAAGAAATGAAGTACAGTGCATTATGCAACATAGGTAAACCTCAAAATCCTGGGCTGAATAAAAGAAGCCAGATATGCTGCAGGAGTCCATTTCTATAACGTGTCCAGGAAAGATAAATGAAAATAAATATAGAAAGCAGATTATTGTTTGCCTAAGGCAGGGTGGAAAGTGTGTGCTTGAGAAGGGAATAGAGAAGGGAACTGCTAATAAGTATGGTGTATCTTTTTCAGGTGACGAAAAAAATTCTAAAATTTCTGGTGGTGCTTTTACAGTATTGTGAATATACCAAGCACCATCAACTGAACATTTTAAATAAACAACTCATAAGGTATATGAGCTATAATTCAATAAAACCAAGAATTATAGTAATTGGAGCTAAGGAGATATTTCAAAGGATAGAGCACACGCCTAGCATACAGAGACCCCAGGTTTGATCTTCAGCACCATGTATGATCCCCCAGGCACCACCAGGAGTGACCCCTGAACACTGAGCTGGGAGCAGCCTCTAGGCCCCTCAGCAATAATAACAAAGAGAAGGGAAGGGACAAAATAAAAATTTCATAAAGAATTCGTAAAAATAAACAGACAATATATAGATCCAGAGTGATGATTCCTAAGACAATAGCATGACTGTATTTAAAGGTGAAGATGCTTTTAAATCTATATACTGTACAGGGCATCATCCATATTGCATTAATTGGCATTCGGTGAACACTTTGATTACCTACCTGTTCCCATTCATGCTTTGTTAGCTGCTGCTGTTCAGTAAAGGATTCGTTTATGTCATTCTCTTCCGCTGAAGTGGCTGTACTTCCTTCAATTGCCCTTGGCTCTAAATACTCTTGATCAATTGGAACTGGCGGCATCAACACAGATTTCATCTATAAAACAATGTCATGCATTAGCCAAAACTATGCTTGGAAAGCTCAACGCAGTGAAAAACACATCGACCCCTTTTCTATCCCATCCACTACCTTTGTTTTGTTTCTGTTTTGGAGTTTGGGTGACACCCAGCAGTCCTCAGGGCTTACTCTTGGCTCTACGCTCAAGGGACCATATGGGGTGCTGGGAATAGAACTCGAGTCAGGTGTATGCAGAACAAGAGACTTAACTGTTATACTATCTCTCTGACTGTTATCCACCTCCCTTACCTCATTGAGCCACGTATAACTATAAAGGGAGTACATGAAAAGAAACATCAAAACTAACGAAATGAAAATCTGAAGGTTTGCCAACTAGACACATTGTGCTTCAAGGAAAATGTTCCTATAGAAATTTTGAGGGACCCCAGAAGCACAAATGTCAGAACTAGACATATTCAGTCAACTACAGTAGATATGAAGCCTTTACTTTGTTTCAGGTATCCATACTGAATATTTTTTTGAGGTCCCATCTCATAGCAATGACTGGAGATTCCATCCATCCCAGCTACTATTAGTGTAGTCACAGTCTACCTTCTCCTTCTCTCCAGCATAGAGACCACATGGATATTAAGAACTTGTGGTCCTGGTGGGAATGTCAACTGATCCACCATTTCAGAAGTGAATGTGGTCATCATTCACAAAGCTAGCAACTGAGCTTCCATATGACCCAGAAATCCCACTCCTCATAATATACCCCAAGGGTCCAAAAACACAATCCAGAAAAGACATCTGTACTCCTATGTTCACTATAGCACTATTCACAATAGCTAAAATCTGGAAACAACCCAAATGTCCCATAACAGATGACTGGATAAAGAAACTACAGACATATACACAGTAGAGTACTACTCGGGAGTAAGAAAAGTTAAAGTCACAAATTTGCTGCTATGTGGATAGATCTAGAGAGTATCATGTTGGGTGATACTCAACAGATGATCTTTCTTGGATACAAAGAAACTTTGTAAGGGAATAACAAAGCCCAAAAGGCAATGGACAAAAAGAGCAAGAGAATTGTTCCTAAGCAGGTAGCTTGCCACTGGATTGGAGGTGTGGGGGATAAGTTAGAGAAGGGACCGCTATGACACTTGACACTGGTGGAGGGGGAAAGTGACTACTCTAGAGGCAGGCTGAGGGCAAGAGGGACCCTGGAGTGATTGGTGGAGGGAAATGGACACTGGTGATGGGATTGGTGTTGGCTGTATGCCTGAAACTTCTAACAATGAATAGCTTTGTAACTCTCTAATTCATGGTGATTGGAAATTTTAAAAATTATCATAAGCGGGTAGGGCATTTGCCTTGCACATGGCTGGCCCGGGTTTGATTCCTCTGTCCCTCTCAGAGAGCTCGGCAAGCTACCGAGAGTATCACGCCCACTTGGCAGAGCCTGGCAGGCTACCCGTGGCATATTCCGTATGCCCAAAACAGTAACAACAACCTCACAATGGAAATGTTACTGGTGCCCACTTGAGCAAATCAATGAACAACGGGAGGACAGTGACAGTGACATCATAAAAAAGAATTTGTGCTTCTGTTGCTGCAAAAGGCCCCTTGACAATTGGCTACTTTGTCTCAGCCCTTACCCCTATGGTACCACACCACCTTCTCTACTGGGATTCTATTAGCTGTCCCTGCCTTTGGCTGTGAGTTTGAAGAAAGTCAAACCAGTCTTAGGTAATATATCTAATCATAATATAATTATATATATTATGACTCTTTTTTCCCTTAGTGAACCTAGGATGGAGATTGTCTTCAGGGTCCCCCAGTTTTCTCCTCCCTAATTAATAATTATACCATGACAATTAGTGTAAGCCAGGACGTAGGATGACCCCTAAACTGGAGAGGCCTAAGGAATTAGAAATGGGGGCCTATAAACTTGAATTGAAATATCCACTTTGCAAATTTCATCTGTTAGAGTTTCCACAGCTTGCACCTAGTCCTTTCATTGGAGTTCAGTTCTATTTAGTACTACTCTGCTTCTTGTTCAATTCCACTGGAGGAGGGCAAGAAGAAAAAAATATCCGAATCAACTTTCTATCTTTAATGATTCCCTAAGGGATAAAATTTGGGATATTCTAAGAAAATTTCTGGCCCCCAAACCTCTCAGCATGGTTCGTTCTTCGTGACTAAAATTCAGACCTCACCTTTAAGTAGCAGGAAAAAGAGGAGAGAGCGTAAACAGTTTTATGGTTGCAACTTAGTCAAAGTCATTTTCTTCATCTAGGAAGAAACCCTCCCTGCTACTCGTTAGGGTACAGATTTTCAGCTTTGGTATACAAGGGTGGGAAGTGAGCCCTGTCACATTTAGTACCTTGCCCAGTCACGCAGCCAGGAAATGAAAGATGCAGAGTACAACCCTAACTAGGTGGGTCTGATGGCAGAGCCTCGTGGGAATTATATCTTGGATAACACCTAGGTGGCTTTCGATATTAGATCACCCCCTAAGCTCATAACGAGCGCTCCTTGTTCCTCGTGTCCTCAATGTCTTGGTCCTAACGTGGTCTGTATACTTGGGCTAAACTCTGTAAGGGAAGTTTCCAATCTGATCAGTTGGTAGTGCCTTCCATGGCTGATCAGCACTGCTGTAGGAAGGCAGGTGGGAACGGAACGGAATGAAGCATTCATGGCATGTGCTTGCCAGTATTTGACATCAAAAACATCATGTTCCCTTTTTCTTGGCTGGAGTCATAGCCACTCACTATGTGAATAGTAGCGATCTCATTTTCATGGAGTGCCTTATCAGCTTGACTATTTGGTGATAGGAGAAAGATGCTTTCGATTTCAAGTGGCCTTAAAATGTGTGGCAACCTGGATACTTTTCAGAGGAAAAGTGTGTGTGTGTGTGTGTGTGTGTGTGTGTGTGTGTGTGTGTAGGAGTAGTGGAGGGTTGCTATTAGCAATTACTCTAGAACAACAGACATAACCCAGGAGGTCATCACTGTATAAGGTTGAGGTCAAGGGTGTAAGTAAAACCACCACTGAAAGTTTCTGTGGTTTTTGTCTTAGACTTGCCCTGCTTTGGTCTTAGATCTCTTAGGAAACATTCAATAAACATTGAATCATTTCTGTGATTGAGGGGGTGGGGCTGTACATCAAGTCATCAAGGTGATAGAGAAACAGAGAGAGATAGCATACAACCAGTACCAGAATTTATTTAATTTTATTAACTGTTACAGAGGGGGTGTAGGAGGAACTTGGGAGCATTTGGAGGGTAATCTGAGTTTGCTGGAGGTGGTGGAAAGCTTTCTAGACGTGGGATATACTGAAATTGAAACCCTACCTTGCCATTCTCTCCCCCCCTCTATATAAAGGCTATCTATCTATCTATCTATACATATATATATATATATATATATACATATATATCACAGTAATATCACGGCCCTCCCGTTGTTCATCGATTTGCTTGAGTGGGCCCAGTAACGCCTTCATTGTGACACTTGTTACTATGTTTGGCATATGGAATATGACACGGGGAGCTTGGCAGGCTCTCCAAGAGGGGCGGAGGAATCAAACTCGGGTCGGCCATATTGGCTGCGTGCAAGGCAAACACCCTACCCGCTGTGCTATCGCTCCAGCCCATATATATATATATATATGTATATATATATATATGCATACAAGACTCCAAACACTCAAACACTCAAGGCCAAAAAAATCACATGTCTGTCTCTGTGTAAAATTAAATTTTAACTCTTGGGACTGGAGAGATAGTACAGAGGGTAAGGCACTTGTCTTAGACGTGGCCAATCAGAGTTTAACACCCAGCACTCCATATGGTCCCCTAATCACATTTAGGAGTGATTCCTGAGCACAGAGCCAAGAGTAAACCCTGAACACCACTGGGTAAGGCCCCCAAATCAAAAATAGAATAAAATTTCAATTCTAGACCTTACCTGATTTGATTAGTTGGAAGAGGTTAGGCCGTGCTGGGGTAAGGTTCAGGGTTCTGAGGGACTGTGTACAGCCAAATCACTCTAGCATGCGACTATTCCGTGCCCTATGGCACACCTACCCTTCCTGCCCTGGGGCCACCTGTTGAGCTCTGGTGCAGGAGGAAGCCACTCCAGTGTCACTGCAAGGCCCAGTCCCAACCCCATCGAGTAAGCGTGCCAATATCACAGTCCCCAATCCCCACTTCCCTCCAAGGTTCCTTCTAACAAGAGTCCAGTTCTGCTTCTGTTGGATATAAGATGATTATTTCTGCTTAAAATACTTATAGCAAATTATCCTGAGCCATTTAGAGTATGTTATAAAGTAAATCAGATGAATCCAGAGAGAAATCGTACAAGATCCTACTTTGAGATGGGACCTAACACAGCCTAGTTCATAGAGACAGGAAGCAGAATGGGTTGGCTGGGCTGGAGCGGGGGAGGCTCAGTGATAGAGTTTAGTGGGGAGAGTCACAGTGTGCAAAGATGGAAAGTTCTGGACAGGGATGATGGTTGCACAGCGATACTTAGTGCCACTCATTGTACACTTAAAATGGTCAACATGGCAAAGTCTAGGTTTATGTATATTTTACCAAATATGAATGCATTTGTTGGAGACTTTAGTTTTTAACAATTAGGATTTTTTACTTTTAGAAGCAATCTGAAATGCCAGTATTTCATCATTTTCCCTCTGTCATCATGAATTTAAATTTTTCTAGATGTGTTTCTCATTTAATTATCATGCAATCAATTATATTTCCTTAAAATCTGTATACTCTTTTGGAGTTACGACCACCAAAACACAGACCAATGTAGCACAATAAATTAAAACACTTATCAATTCCATACAAATGTCTGTGATAAGACATGCCGAACTTGTTTTCTTACTTTGTTTCTTTCTAACTGGTGGAGTAAATTCATGTCCGTGGACTCTGATATTCCACCATGTATGACCAAGATTTCATTGTCAATGATGGAGCCAATAGGGAGCCAAGTATAGACGTCTTCCAGCATGTCAAGAATTTTTTTCCCATGTAACTGTAAGCAAGAGTTAGAGTAAGTTTTGTTTTTCTGATAGTTGCAGGTTTAATAAGTGGCACCAATGTGCAAACACAAAGCAAGAATTTCCATAACTTCCCAAAGAAGTCGTCAAGGAATCACTGACCAACTGGCATGCACCAGTCAGGCCTTTTTATTTGGTATCTGTGATACATTTGACATCTTACTACCTAGTGAATCTTGAAGACTACTCCTTCCAGGGTTAATATGTTCTTTTTTGCTTTTTGGGTCACACCCAGCGATGCCCAGGGGTTACTTCTTGCTTTGTACTCAGGAATTACTCCTGGCAGTGCTTGGGGACCATATGGGATGCTGGGAATCAAACCCGGGTCAGCCGCGTGCAAGGCAAACGCCCTACTCACTGTGCTATCGCTCAAGCCCCAATAATGAATTCTTAGAGCTGGAGCGATAGCACAGCAGGTAGGGCATTTGCCTTGCACACAGCCGACCCAGATTCAATTCCTCCACCCCTCTCAGAGAACCCGGCAAGCTACCAAGAGTATCCTGCCCGCATGGCATAGCCTGGCAAGCTAGCCGTGACATATTCGATATGCTAAAAACAGTAACAACAAGTCTCATAATGGAGACGTTACTGGACCCGCTCGAACAAATCGACGAACAACAGGAAGACAGTGCTACAGTGCTACTAAATTACTTGCCTTTCCTAAGAAGACCAGCCTATCCAGAGGGTACACTCCAACCACCTCACTATTCTTCTGCCCAGTCGCCTCAATGATGGACAGTTCCTTCCTCTCCGCCCCTGGCAACCTGCACCTCCTCCCTGCCCCCAAATTATTCAACTAGCCAATCCTAAACTTGCTTTCACTGTTTTGCCCATTTGGTCCCCATAGAAACCATGATGGAGGTTTGGTCTCCACTTCCCTCCTTCCTCCCTTTGCCTTCCTAGCCACACGAAGACTTCCCCAGGTGCTTCACTGCCCCACCTACTCATCCCCCCAAGCCCACCCCCCTCATCTCCCAACCCCAGGTGTGCCCTGCCTCTTGGCAGAGGGAATTGGGACTTAAAAACCACCCTTCAGGACAGTCATTTCCCTGAGAAAAACACATTTTGGGTACCTTCCAAAAAATTGTGGATATTTATATCCATGTTGAAAACCACACAATAGTGACGATAAAAAGGCTTGGTTTCAGCAAGGAAGAAAATCAGGTCCCTACCACAGCCAGGGCTAGTTGGGCTGCTTTTATTTTGACTTGCATGGACTCTGATTCCTTCACCCATCAGCCATCACCCTTCCTGAAGCTTTTTGTCCCCTTTCACTTCTATGTATAAGTAGCAAAGAGAACGCAAAACAAAAACAGAATAAAGATATGAACCTTACCTTGTATTTGAACAAAACCTCTTTTGTGAAGCCATACCTGAAAAATAAAACACCCCAGGGGGTGTTAAAGTACTGAATGAAATATTGATAACCCCTATTTACATAAGTGATGTGGTAAGGAGAGCTTTTGACTTCTCACTATCACAGGAATCAAGAACTCAAAGAGCTAGACTTCACTTGGAAGTATTATTTACCCAAATCTTTGCTAGCTGCGGTGGAAAAGAACAGAGGTGGCCAATCATATTGCCTGCATTTTCAAGGAATTTACAGTACAAGTGGGGAGAGAGCTAAGTCTCTATAAAACAGTTTGAAAAACAGGGGGCAGGTACTCAGTAAACTCAGAATTGAGCTCCTTTTTAAAATTTTTATTAGTGAAACACCATGAGGTACAGTTGTAGACTTACAAATTTTTGTGCTTGGGTTTCAATTATACAATGATCAAATACCCATCCCTCCACCAGTGCCCATTTTCCACCCCCACAGGTCCCAGTATCCCTCCCCCGCACCCCCCCATCCCACTCTGCCTCTATGGCAGGGCATTTCCTTTTGTTCTCTCTCTCCTTTTGGGTGTTGTGGTTTGCAAAAGAGGCATTGAGTGGCAATCATGTTTGGTCTATAGTCTACTTTCAGCATGCTTCTCCCATCCTGGGAGGATCCTCCCAACACCCTTTATTTGGTGTTGAGCTCCCTTTTGACCCAGTAATTCCACTTTGGGGCATCTATCCCCAAGACAGAAAAACATTCATTCAAAAGAATACAGGCACGTCATTATTCATTTCAGCCCTCAGCACAATAGCTAGGAATGGGAATGAACTTAGATGCCCAATGTTAGATAAGTGGATCGTAAAAATGTGGTATTATATATATATATATATATATATATATATGTGTGTGTGTGTGTGTGTGTGTGTGTGTGTATGATGTGGTATTATTCGTCGATTGCCTCGAGCAGGCCCCAGTAACGTCTCCTTCATCCTAGCCCTGAGATTTTTAAGAAAGTGCTATATTCAAGGCTCTTTGAATCATGTAATGATCCAGCACCCATCCCTCCACCAGTGTAAATTTCCCACCATCAATGTGCAGCCTCCTGCCCCCGCACCTGGCTGTCCTCGCCGGGGCCCCTTGGAGGGGAGCGGGTTGAGCTTTCCTCCCCGCCCCGACCAGGGCTCTGGCAGCCGAAGACCTCCAGGACCAGCCACCACCATGCTGAGACCACTCTCCACACACCTGAAGGTACTGGCAGAGGAACAAAGGCAAGCGGGTCCCGGGGCTGAGATCTCCAAGCCTACTTGGATCGGGGCTGAGCATCGTCCACCCAGATCCTCCAAATTCCAGTAGGCGGCGGGTCACACCCACCAACTGGCCCCCTGGCGCCGTGTAATCCCATCAACGGCCAAGACTCAGAGACTATAAAACCCAGCTCCCAGAACCGCGCGGGACATCTTATTATGACATCTTATTATCTCATTCCTACTTTGGACAAACTGGCAGGCTACCGAATGTAACCTGCCCACACGGCAGAGTCTGGCAAACTCCCCGTGGCGTACCCAATATGCCAAATACCAGTAACAACGATGGGTCTCATGTGGTATTATATATGTGTATAATGGAATACTAGGCAGGAATAATAAAATCATGCAATTCAGAGAAACTTGCATGGAACTGGAAGACATGTTAAGAGAAGTGAGCCAGAAAAGAAGGATAAGTCAGAATCATAACAGTCGTATGTAGTATTTAGAATAACTGAATGCAATGCCTTAAAGAAAGGATGCCCAGATCAACCTTGGCCCCAGAGTATAGGGCAGAGAGGAAAGAAAGAGTGGGAGGGGAGGGGAAAAGTGACAAATGAGAAACAATGGGGGCCAGGTCAGGAGATTAAGGTACAAAGGTGGTATTAAAGAATGATACGGCCAAATATCCAAACCAGAGTCAACAACACTGAAGACAGAGACCTAAACTTTAACAACTTAACTTAGAAAGGTGCCAGTCAAGAGGGCCAGCTGGAGGGGAGGTAGATGGGAGCGAACTTGAGAACATTGGTGGAGGGAAGTTGACACTGGTGGTACAGTCAGTGATGCAATATTGTATATCTAAAACCCAACTGTGAATAACTGTAAATTACGGTCACTGTCACTGTCCTCCCTTTGCTCATCTATTTGCTCTAGCTGGTCCAGTAACGTCTCCATTGTGAGACTTGTTGTACTGTGTTTGGCATATCAAATACGTCACGGGGAGCTTGCTAGGCTTTGCCCTGTGGGCAAGATACTCTCGGTAGCTTGCCGGGCTCTCCGAGAGGGGCAGAACAATTGAACCTGGGTCAGTCGGGTTGGCTGCATGCAAGGCAACCGCCCTACCGCTGTGCTATGGCTCCAGTCCATAAATCATGGTGCTTTAATATAATTTTTTTAATTATGAGACAACTTAAATACGTGGTGGGCATTGACCACAAATGCAAATATTGAACCACAGCCGGGAAAGCTACGTGGGAGAGAGCTTTTCACGTACATAGAATTTCTCAGACAGCTTCTAGCTTATAGTAAATGATGTGAGGTGGGGTGAAGCAGAGGAAAGACAAAGAGAAGCCTCCAAGATAACAACTTGGCTCTTTAAAATCTCTCCGATAGACTTCATGTGATGTTATTGAAGGTTTTAATAGAAAGTGTCAGGAATTTTGATGCCTGAATAGCAGTCTCTAGGGGAGATTTAATGATGAATATTTTTTGTTCAATTATTTCTCCTTGCCTTAGGATATGTGTGTGTATGTGCGTGTGTACATTCTTAACATTCAATATAGAGAAGCTGGAACACAGCATACTCATTCCAGGTGTCTATGGAAATTCTATCACCTCAGTTTCTAGTGCATAATATGTTTTCCAAGACGAATCCAGTCGTGCATTCACCAAAGGAATTCAGGTTGCTATTCAGCTCTTCTGAATCTCATTTCTATGTTCTCTACCACCTTGCCTTAAATAGGGGAGTTCCTACAGATTCTCTCCTAGGTCCTCTGCTTCCTTGACAAGATTATCCTTGAACAGAACTTCAGTTTTCAAGATGGCAGGAAAAAGCTCCAAACAGCATTTAATTTTGAGCTCAGGACACAGGTCCAACTGTCTTACCCCAAACCGATCTCATCATTCCTTCTCATTCCAATCTTTCCTCTCATCACGTTCCACATACTAGTTTGAAATCCCAAACTCAAGCCAAGATGCTGGGAGTCATCCTTAATTTTCCCTTTTTTTAAGTTGCCCAGATCACTTAAAGAAGCCTGGAACCTACCTAATTTTTTTTGCATCCCGGACCTCATCACCCTAGTTTAAGTGAAAACCCATTACCTATCTCCTCAACTACTTTCAAATTGGCTTCCCCATACCCACTTCTATCCCTCTCCAAATTGCTCTTCTGGTTGCATTTGAAAACACAAATTTCATGATACTCTTCAATCATCATCTGTGGTCCTTAAAAAGAAAATCCAGGGGCCGGGGCAATAGTACAGCGGGTAGGGCATTTGCTTTGCACGCGGCCAACCTCTGTTAAATCCCTGGCATCCCATATGATCCTTCAAGCACCATCAGGAGTAATTCCTGAATGCAAAGCCAGGAGTAATCCCTGAGCATTACTGGGTGTTATCCAAAAGAGAGAGAGAGAGAGAGAGAGAGAGAGAATCCATATTCCTTTGCACAATCCAACCATTTCTTATGTCTCCAGACATACCAGGTACTAGCCTGTCCCCTATCCCCACCTATGCTCCTACCCTCATAAAATTTTATTTTTCAAGTGTAAAACATCGTGCCTGGGGATGGCCCAATGGCAGAAACCTTGTGTTGGAGCCCTGGCTCTATGCAACCTGCCACGTGAGATACTGACCCTAGTGCTGTTTGGGATCCCTGGTGCCACTACCAAAGTGCACAACTCCTGGTAAGGACCGAAACTGAGGTGTGTGAAGCCCACATCCAAGTGTGTGACCTCAAGTTATCACAATAGCTATGAAGGAAGGAAAAAGATGGTGGGGGTGGAGAATAAAGAAGCAAAATGTAAAGTCTTGTCACAAGACCAGAACACACTCTTCTATGATCTTGCCACTGCCCTCTTTTGTTTGGTCAATCCATCCAACAGATCCCAAGCTAACCCCTTACTTCTAGAGAAAAATCTTATGCCATCCTGCAGATAAGTTGGATCCACATCACGCTGGAAAAACCTTCTCAATGCACATCCTGGTTTCCAAGCATCAACTCTGTGAGCCTCCTTCATTAACCACTGCAGCCACAAATCTGATCAGCGAATTGAACAAATGAAAGGAGAAACGCCATGCCCAACCAAAAGTATTGAACGATATCACGGATAATGGGCCCGGATAACAATAGTCTTGGGTTTTTTTTTCTTCAGAGTCTTAGCATTTATCTCTAATTTTGAGGATGAGAATGAAAACTTTCTACTCATGTCAGCTACCAAAACTGCTCAATTCGTTTTCTAATTATTTGCTGACCTTTGTTCAAGGCGCCTAAAAGCCCAGGACCAAACGCAAGAAATGTCATGTCTTCTTCTGTCCTGAAGAAAACTGGTTTCTGATTTTCATAAAAATGGAAAAGTTAACAAAAGGGAGAAACCTGGGGGCATCACCCAGTGGTTGAGAACACTGACCATGCAAGCGAAAGGTCTTGGATTCAATCCCCAGGCAGTGTTGGCAGCCCTGCTGTTTGAGCCTCATAGCCCTATACTCTGTCCTCCCTGGTGCCACAAGAGAATCCCAGCCACCCTGCCAGCCCAGCAATGAAAGGGGTGAGACTAGTGAGCACCTTTTTTTTGGGGGGGGGTCATACCCAGCGATGCACAGGGGTTACTCCTGGTTCATGCACTCAGGAATTACTCCTGGTGGTGCTCAGGGGACCATATGGGATGCTGGGAATCAAACCCGGGTCAGCCGCATGCAAGGCAAATGCCCTACCCGCTGTGTTATTGCTCCAGCCCCTAGAGAGCACCTTTAAACCATGTGTGAGCACCATGGCTGGGAAGGGCATCACCTGGAGAGTACATATTCTGTAGGGATGCAGGCATAACCCCCCGCAAAAGATGCCCAGCTTAATTCCCATATCCAAAGTGCCTGAGAGATTGGGACTCACCCTGCTCGTACCACCAGCTGTGCTACCCCTACAGTGCCTAGGACAGTGCCGTTCAACTCTGCTGCTCTAGTCCTGGCATTAGCCTGGCCACTCTCTTCCCGGGAGAGGCTCAAATTAGTTTATATGCATCTCACTCCCTTCTGTGATCGGCTCAGCACATTTTTTAAAAAGAATTTTATTAGTGAAACACCATGAGGTACAGTTGTAGACTTACAAATTTTTGTGCTTGGGTTTCAATTATACAATGTTTGAGTACCCATCCCTCCACCAGTGCCTATTTTCCACCACCATTAATCCCAGTATCCCTTCCAACCCCCATCCCCCCATCCCCCCCTGCCTCTGTGTCAGGGCATTCCCTTTTGTTCTCTCTCTCCTTTTGGGTGCTGTGGTTTGCAAGAGAGGCATTGAGTGGCAATCATGTTAGGTATATAGTCTACTTTCAGCATGCATCTCCCATCCTGGGAGGATCCTCCCAACACCTTTTTTCGGTTCTCCCTTCTCTATCTAGACTGTCTTTTCCCCTAGCATGCGTGGGGCTCAGCACACTTTTGTATCCAACTCACTGCCAGAATTGGCTATGTGCCTCCTGCTCCCCTACCTCCCAGGATGAACTCACCTGTAGAAAGAAGAAACTCCTGTCTACACAGTCCAGAGATGTAATAAAAGACTCCCTGGTACTGTGTTAAGCGGGTCTTTCCCTGGAGGTCTCTAACTTTGCCATTCTGACTAGAACACTCTCTATCTTTGGTGTTTGGACCACACCCAGTGATGCTCAAGGCTCCGGGCTCAGGGATCACTCCTAGGAGTGCTCAGGGCATCAAACATGATACCCAGGGATTGAACCCAGACAGCCACAAGCAAGGCAGGACCTTATCATTGTGCTATCTCTCTGGCCCAGTGTGCTCTCGTGTAGTAAATTTACTTTTAATAAATTTACTTGGGGTCGAGATGCTCCTCTCCCTTCATAATAGCCACCATAGCAATACCTGGACAACACTCCAACCAGAAGAGCCAGAATGTGCCCGTGCATACAATGAAATAAGAACAGCCCGTGGTGAGTACTGTGGCCTGCTGTGCAAGCCTGGGCAACCCAGAGTTGTGAGCATCACAGCCCTGTGTGAGGGAGACACTTGGTCATCATGACGATAGCAACGAAAAGAGAGGAAGGAAGGGAAAGGGGAGAAAAGTTAGGGGAAAGAACAAAAACGAAAAGGAGGGGGGGCTGGAGCAATAGCACAGCGGGTAGGGTGTCTGCCTTGCACACGACCGACCCGGGTTTGATTCCCAGCATCCTATATGGTCCCCTGAGCATTGCCAGGAGTAACTCCTGAGTGCAGAGCCAGGATTAACCCCTGTGCATTGCCGGGCGTGACCCAAAAAAGCAAAAAAAAAGAAAATAAAAAGGAGGAATTGTTCAAGTAAGGGGGGATGGGTATGTGGCCAGAAGGAAGAAAGAAGGGCTGGGGAACATCGGCAAGGCACCGGCTGTGCCTTTCAGCAGAAATTGGGAAACCATTTTGCCAATTTTTAGTACTCAAATCTCCGGTGAGTCAGATCGTTGAAAAGCTACATTACAGCTGTTCACAAATGCGCTTACGAATAGTCATGCCAGCAGCAAGCACCATGTATACAAAAACACGCACACCACTGCAAAACACAGTGCCAGTTTCGAAGACAACATCTGAGAAGCCAAAAGAGTAGCAGCAGAATGATCCCATCTTCACCTTCACACCCACCTACCAAGTTTACACCCAGTATACACTTTGGCCTGAGAGGGGGAGGCAGAGGAGGAAGAGATAGCATAGAAGGAAAAAGGAAGCAGAGACCTCAAGAAAACAAAGGAAGTGGAATTCAGAGAAATATGTACTCACTCATAGACAAGGGATGGAAAAAAAGAGTTAAGAATTGAGTTCTTCCCTGAGCTTCCCCTAGTCCTAACTTCTCTACAGTCATGTCTATCTCTCAGCTAGGAATGTAACATAATAGAATTTTCGAGAAGAGAACATCTAAAGGCCTAAGGTTACCTCATATTCATCATAAAATCTTCATGGTTCCCTCTGTTCAGGTGCACGGCATTGGGGTAAACAAGAAAACTCACAAAGAGGATCATGAGGACCTCCATAGAATTTCTTCCTCGGTCTACAAAGTCACCATTAAAAACGTATGGGTTGCTTCCTGAAGGGAGACCATTCTGTGGGAAGAGGAAGGTGAAAGATTTGTAAGTATGATTCAAGTAAAGCTTTGTACTTACAACCCCTGTGTAAATGGAATCAAAAGTCAGAGCCAGTCCTTCCAGTGGGGAATAATCTGCCCACTGGCTTGTGGGATCTCACAGAGGAAATATTTCCTGCAAGGGAACAACAGGCGGTCCCTTTGCTTGGGGCAGGAAACTGAAAGTTTTCTCTGAAAGGACTTGGTCCAAATGGTCCGTTCCAAAATGGTGACTCTCAGCTGGGCTTTCTCCCTTGAAAAGAGGTTAACTGAGTTTGTCCTTAGAGAACCCTGTCCTCTAAGACGGGACAGAGGATGAGAAGGGAACTAGGATGGGTGGTGGAGGGACGTTAACACTGGTGGCAGTTGCAGTGTTGTGCAGTGTTGTGACATTGTATTCCTAAGACATCAAATTAACAAAAACTACTGTAAATCATGGTGTAAGCATAATGGGGGAGGGGCATACTTGGTGGTGCTCAGGGTTTACTCCTGGATCTGTCTTAGGGATCACTCCTCGTGGTACTCAGAGGATCATATAGGGTGCTGAGGATTGAATCTGGGTCAGCTGAGTACAAGGCAAGTGCCTCACCCACTGTACTATCTCTCCGGCTCCTAATTTTGCTTTTAAAAAATAATGGAAGTCACTTCCAAGCCCATGTTCTCACTCTCTTGAACACGTATCTCTCTCTAACTCTCTCTTTCTATCTCTAACTCTCTAACTCTCTCTTTCTATCAGAGTTTTTTCCACTCTGGAGAAACCTCTGTTTTCTCTCTTGAGTACATGTTCCTCTTCTTCTCTCCCGTTACATCTTTCTTTCTCCTCGAATAAAAACTATTTGCTTCCAAAACAAAAAGTGAAAGTCATTAGAAAGTCACTACCACTAGAACACCAAAAAGGAAGTAAGGTAACTTCAGGACCAGGGAGGTGGCTCAGCAGTGGAACACTCACCTTGCATGTGGGATGCCCTGGGTTGGATTACTAACACTGGAAAAAAAAAAAAGGAAAGAGAGTTGCTCCGACCAAGAAGGAATACTGAATTGAGCTCTCATTCTGCATTTAACCTCTCCAGTCGATTCCCTCAATTTGCAAAGACGGGCTGCCCCTGTGTCCCTTCCCAAATAGAATGAGAGAATGGACATGTCAGGATGCAGAGAGAGGAAGGTATTCCAGCAAGGCCAGGTCAGCTGGTACAATCATACCAGGTACTGAGATAGTCCAGCTCTTCATTGGCCAGCCCGTATGAATTAGTTCCTATCTTTAATACACTACTGGGTATGAGACAATACTTTTTACAAATTCTTTTTTGGGGTTATGGGGTTGGGTCCACATCTGGCAGTACTCAGGGGTTATTCCTGGCAGTGCGTGAGGAACCATATGTAGTGCCAGGGACCTGTGATCAAACAAATGCAGTGCACGTGTCTTACCTCGAGTACTATTTTTTTTTGGACCTGAGATGACACTTAAATTATTTTTATTAAATCACCATGAGATAAACATTTACAAAGTTGTCCATGACACTTTTTTATCTTCAATTTTTTTAAAAAAATTTATTAGTGCAACACCATGAGGTACAGTTGTAGACTTACAAATTTTTGTGCTTGGGTTTCAGTTATACAATGATCCAGTACCCATCCCTCCACCAGTGCCCATTCTCCATCATTTACATTTTTTTTATTAGTGAAACACCATGAGGTACAGTTATAGACTTAAAAATTTTTGTGCTTGGGTTTCAGTTATACAATGATCGAGTACCCATCCCTCCACCAGCGCCCATCCTCCACCACCACGGGTTCCAGCATCCCTCCCACCCCCCAACCCCCCATCCCACCCTGCCTCTGTGGCAGGGCATTCCCGTTTGTTCTCTCTCTTCTTTTGAGTCCTGTGGTTTTCAAGAGAGCCATTGAGTGGCAATCGTGTTTGGTCTATAGTCTACTTTTAGCATGCTTCTCCCACCCTGGGAGGATCCTCCCAACACCCTTTATTTATTTATTTTGCTTTTTGGGTCACACCTGGTGATGCACAGGTGTTACTCCTGGCTCTGCACTCAGGAATTACTCCTGGCAGTGCTCGGGGACCATATGGGATGCTGGGAATCAAACCCGGGTTGGCCGCGTGCAAGGCAAAACGCCCTACCCGCTGTGCTATCACTCCAGCCCCAGCCAACACCCTTTATTTGGTGCTCTCTTCTCTATCTGAGATTCCTTTTCCCCTAGCACGTGTGGCTGGCCTCCAAGTGTCCATGACACTTTTTAAAAGCAGCATTAGCACCAAGAAAGAACTGGGTTCAGATTAAATATACGATCTTTATAATAGCTATTGATTTGCTTATTTTTATACAACTAAACTCTAAGACAAAACAAACATTTTTTTCAGTGTTGTGCTGTAGGGAAATGAGCCAGTATATTTCTTTTGCAATTAAAGACCACTGTGATTATTTTTAAATACACACACACACACACATATATATACATAAATATATTGCAAAGACAAAATTTTAAGTACTCATTGATCCCAAGGTATGACATCTTTCAGAAAACTACCTTCAGGGAATAATATATATATTCTAGTTATTGTTATCTTTTTCAAATTATTTTTAAATTCTTTTATTAGAATTTAAACTACATAAAACAATCTTATTACCTTATACTCGCTATCGTAGTATTTATATATACTTTAATTTTTTCAAATTAATAGAAAAGAAACAGTTTAAATATATTACATACAACACATAACTTAGGGAATCCAGAAATCTTTGTCAATGTAATGTGGTCTGAGGGGAACCGGAAACAAACAAATACTAAGCAAGTGGAGGTACAGTAGTTTTAGTCCAACTTCACTATTATCTCTGGGTCCTTAGAAAACTCAGTCAAATTTCATGAGTTGTAGTTCCCTCATCTATAAAATGGCGATGATAACTTCCATACTTACCACAGGGGCTACTTTGGAATTCAAGTGCATAAAATCATGGGAGACTTTTAACACACACTTCTTATTATGATCCATGCTAGTTCTAATTTCAAGGTCCCATACGTTTATATCTTTTTATAGATTCATTCATCGATTGCCTCGAGCAGGCACCAGTAACGTCTCCTTCGTCCTAGTCCTGAGATTTTAAAAAGAGCCAAAAGGTTCTTTCAGGGTTAGGAGAATGAGACCCATCATTGTTACTGGTATTTGGCATATTGGGTACACCACGGGGAGTTTGCCAGACTCTGCTGTGTGGGCAGGTTACATTCAGTAGCCTGCCAGCTTGTCCAAAGCAAGAATGAGATAATAAGATGTTGCCCAGGAGGGGAGATGCATGTCGAAAGTAGACTATGGACTGAACATGTTTGCCACTCAATGCCTCTTTTGCAGACCACAACACCCAAAAGGAGAGAGAGAACACAGGGGTTTGCCCTGCCACTGAGGCAGGGGGAGATGGGGGGATGGGGGTGGGGGGGATATTATCCATGGTGGTGGAAAATGGGCACTGGTGGAGGGATGGGTATCTGATCATTGTATAATCTAAACCCAAGCACAAAAAATTGTAAATCTACAACTGTACCTCATGGTGTTTCACTAATAAAAAAAATGAAAAAAATAAAATAAAATAAATTATTGTGAACAACTCTGTAAAAATAAAAAATAAAACCAAATTTCAGCAAATAAAAAAAAAATAAGATGTTGCATGGCCACTCACAGCCGCGCTTCTAGGAGCTGAGTTTTATAGTCTCTGAGTCTTGGCCGTTGATGGGATTACATGGTGCCGGGGGGCAGTTGGTGGATAGAGTCATTCATATAATCTTATTTACACCAGACTTGGAGAGTGTGAGCTAGTTATGAAAATAGAGGGTGTCAAGGACAGTAGACACAAGGGCCAGGAATATTGCCCCATAGTTGGAAGCCTGTCTCATGAACTGGGAGAGAAGGCAGCTGGAATAGAGAAGGGATCACTAAGACAATGATGGTTAGAGGAATCACTGGGGATGGGAGATGAGTGCTGAAAGTAGATATAGGACCAAACGTGATAACCTCTCAGTATCTGTATCACAAACCCTAATGCCCCAAAATAGAGAGAGAGTATAGGGGAAATTGTCTGCCACAGAGGCAGGGGGAGGGCTGGAAAGGCGGAGGCAGGGAGGATACTGTGGTTGTGGAGAATGTGCACTGGTGGAGAGATGGGTGTTTGATCATTGTATGATTGAAACTCAGATATAAAAGCTTGCAACTGTATCTCACGGTGATTCGATTAAAAATAATTTAAAGAGTGCTGCAATGAACAAACAAGTGCAGATGAAAAAACCGGAGTGCCCGAGAACAGATGACTGGTTAAAGAAACTTTGGTACATTTACACAATGGAGTACTATGTAGCTGTTAGAAAAGATGAAGTCATGAAATTCACATACGAGTGGTACTACATGGAGAGTATCATGTTAAGCGAAATGAGTCAGAAAGAGCGGGATAGAAACAGAAAGATTGCATTTATCTGGGGAACATAAAGCAACAAAATGGGAGACTAACACCCAGGAATAGCCGAGATTAGTACCAGGAATTTTGCTCCATGACTTGGAGGCCAGCCACACGTGCTAGGGGAAAAGGAAGCTCAGATAGAGAAGAGAGCACCAAATAAAGGGTGTTGGGAGGATCCTCCCAGGATGGGAGAAGCATGCTGAAAGTAAACTCTAGACCAAACATGATTGCCACTCAATGCCTCTCTTACAAACCACAGGACCCAAAAGGAGAGAGAAGAACAAAAGGGACTGCCCTGCCACAGAGGCAGGGTGGGATGGGGGGCATGGGGGGTGGGAGGGATGCTGGGACCCATGGTGGTGGAGGATGGGCGCTGGTGGAGGGATGGGTACTTGATCATTGTATAACTGAAACCCAAGCACAAAATTTGTAAGTCTATAACTGTACCTCATGGTGTTTCACTAATTAAAAAAAACAAAAAAGTAAATTTAAAAAAAGAATATGAATGATAGTAGATGTGACTGTG